CCGTCTGCTCTTGTGACCTGGTTCGCATACCTCTCGCCTTCTCAAGCACTTGGCGATGACAGCTATCCTTTCCCCGAACCAGTCTCGTCTTGCTGGACAGAGTTCAAACATGCCTAATGTCTTTAGAAAAGCTATCTCTCTTGGTTGGACCTTTGACAGTACAGCTGCCCAATGAGGTTCGGCACCTCACTCGTGTCACACACCCTCCCCCCCACCCCCACCCTGCCAACCTAGTCCAATCCATCTGGCTGTCATCCAGGTTGCTACAAAGAGGCTGGCCCCAACCATGGACACTTCTGTTGTCAAGGTTGCTCATGACCTCCAAGCTGCCCAATCCAATGGTCAACCTTCAGCTCTCATCCCACCTGACCTCAGCAGCGTTTGACCTGGCTGACGGTCCCCCTTCTCCTTAGTTTCTGGGATGCCACATAGCTACCCAGCACCCAGTGTTGGAGCGACCTTGGCTGCTAAATCTCAGTAGGGTTGGCTGGCTCCTGTTCGCGATTTCTAAACCTTTGAGTATCCCAAGGCTCAACACCAGCTCTCTTCTCTATCTCGACTGTCTCAGTGGGCGCATGCAGACCCAGGGGCATGACTATCATCCAAACCCTCATGGATGCCAAATCTGCAAACCCATTTCTCAATTCCTGCCCCTCCCCTAAGCTCCAGACTCACACCCCACCCCGCCTCCTTGGCCTCTTTACCTTGTATGTCTAACACAGCGTTGCCAACTCTGCATCACAGTGCACAGAGAAATGAGCATACCATACGTTGATCTTGGACTTTCCCTCTCACATTTAGATATAATTAATATCTAAATGTGAGAGGCAGGATAGCTGTTGGCCAGGTGGCAGTAATGATAATAGTCATCCCTGTCGTGCACTCACATCAAAACTTGCAGACAGGTATCAGTAGTTTGGAAGAAAATCCTGAAGTCGGTAGTGGAACACTCCTTAAGAGAGACAGCATGGCCAACACTCTTGAAGGAGAAGAGCAAGAAAAGTTACAGATACCGACCTGGATTCGGAATGAAAAGAAGCTTTAAGAACACCTAATCAACTGATCTTACGAATATTTTTAATGTATGTGCAATAGTGCTGTATGGTTAAAACATCATGTTTTAATAAGTCAAACTATTACTAAGAAGTATAAAATAAAAATTCCATGTTAGAAAACATTGTTTTTGTTTATTTGGCAGTATTTCCCCCCTGTGGTACATAAAGTTGCAGGTTATGTTTGATGGCATCTTCTATTTAATGGCATATGGTATTTCTAGGGAACCCTGGGATAAAAGAAGGATCTTTCTGAGGAAGGAGCCAAGCTAAGGAAAGGCCCCAATAGCCCCAGACACCACTGGGCTTCCCTAAGGCATGAGAGAATCCATATCTTTGCCTGAGACCTGGTCTGGGGCTACAGTGATGGGGACACTGGTGTAAGAGCCATGTCTAGTTTCACAAGTTCAAAGCAGAACTCCCGATTCACCCACCAACCCACAAATACCTTCCCATCTAGAATAAATCCCACACTTCTCATTACAGTGTGGAGCATCTGTCTAATGAACATTCCTATTGAAGAAAATACTGTTGTTTAAGGAACATAGCTTGAAAAAACAACAACCATATTTCCAGTCTCCCTGGCCATCTTTCCCACTGTATTCCCAGCAATCAAACACAGAGTGGGCACAGAAAAAACGTTCAGTAGATATTCTCCCCCATAATTGTGGAGCACAGGTACATTTAATTTCTTACCACTGTTACCTAGTGGAGGAGCTGCAAGTAAGGACAGAGAATGAAAAATATAGTACAGAGTATGGAGATAGCATTAATACAGGAGGCCACTGATCATTGTGAGCATGTTTGTGTGTGTGTGTGCATGAGTGTGCATGTGTGTGCACGTGGGTGTGTCCAGTCCTAGATGCTGAGGATAAATGTCAGTCACCACCCAATGGAAACTTCCTATGTGGACATGCACACTCAATAGATATTTTCAGAATTGCTGAGTGAATAATCCTATGTGAAGCTCACTATAACTGAAAGTGAGGCAGATTAACTCATTTTACCAAGAAAAACAAAAGCCTGTTGGACTTAGGTGGGACACAACTTCTGGGACCAGAAGACAGATTTCAAGGCCCAACCACATGTTCCCCATTGTTGGCTGCCTTCTGAGTAGAATTTTGGGAGCTGCTTCCCCTTCTCTATGTAGACTGTTTTCTAACCCCAAATGGTGCTGAATCTAAGCTACTACTTAATGTGAATGCTGTAAGCACTGGAAAAAGTACTCAAAGAATAAACAGAAAATGCAGATTCTCTTTTCATAACCTTGGCTACATCACTGAAACTTTCTGAGCCTCAGTTTCCTTCTCCTCCTTCAGGGATGGTGTTAGAATTCAAGACCAACTAAGTGTCAAATACAAGCTCGTCTGCAACATCCCATTCACTCCCCACAAGATCCTGACATGAGGGCTTCTCCCCTGCCACCCCCCACCCCCATGGAGGAATGGAGCCTGTAAGCACAGGGTCTGGTAGCCCGTGTGGGGAGACCAGAGAGAACCAGCTCTCTCCATCACCTTGGTTGCACATTTGGAAGTGCTTTGTAAACCATAATATACTATAGAATGTACTGTTCTTACTGCAAAGGGAGTTTTCATCAACATTCATGAAATACACGCATTGGTCCATGGCTTATTAAAATAACCCCACCCACCTATCAACCAGTTTGATGAACATTGCTTTCTTATTCCGGGCTGACCCATATGTTCTGTTCTCTTGTGCTGTTGTCCAATGGGTTTACATTCCTATTAACCACACAAAATTCTCTCCCATTGTTGATATTGCTCAGAAAGGGAGGGCAGCAGTCATTCTTAACTTTGCTTTGTAAAAGTCAGGATATTTCTTATTATTTTATGGAAGTTTTAATAATGTCATAGTAAATATAACTTATTTAACAGCCACACATACACATACAACACTTGAACAGGATATGCATGTCCCAAAGTAAAAAATGATAAGATAAGACAGGTCTTACGCACGCGCACGCACACACACACACACACACACACACACACACACAGTGTCACTGGTGTCACTGGGCTTCACCTTGTCAGTCAGTCACAGGGTAATTAAGAAGCACGTTGAGGCATTTCTTGTTATTAATCCTCATCTGAGGATATTTACCCATTGATTTTAGAGAGAGTGGAAAGGAGAGGGAGAGACAGATAGAAACATTAATGTGAGAGAGACACATTGATTGGTTGCCTCTTACATGGGCCCCAACCAGGGCCAGGGATTAAACTGCAACTGGTACGTGCCCTTGACTGGAATTGAACCCGATACCCTTCAATCCTTGGGCTGATGCTCTATCCACTGATGAAAAGCATTTTTTAAAAGTAATTCCATACCTCATAATGGACATGAAGGTCAAGTTTAGTCACATAGATCAGTTATCCTTTAGCTAAGGGTAGTTGAAGAAAAATATAACCAGCCTTAATTGTGGCAAAATATTCCTCTTATCTTTATTTGGAAGTTAGAAACTGCAAAAAAGATGAGGGTATTGAAACCATGACTACTGATTTCCTGCAGAATTGCAAATGCTATGTAAGTTATTTATGAAAAATGTGCTTTAGCAGAGAAATGGGGGTGGGGATCGTTTGATTTCTGGCTCTTTTGCTGAGTCATTATTTGACCTGGTGCAGGCTACTTTCACTCTCTGGTTATAGTTCCATAGTGGAGGCAATAATACCAATCATACATGGGATTCAAGTAGTTATTCAATATTATGTCTTAGCATTTATCTCCTTGTATAAAATTTCTTGCAAGAGTATATGAATTGTTATAAGTTTAACACATAAACATGACAAAAACATTGAGAACAAAGAGGCTTTCCGCAAGATAAAATCATCCCTAGGGAGTCTGAAATCTGAAATGGAAAAATAACTTATTTTTGTTGGCTTTTTCCAAAAATGAATCTATCCAGAACTCAGTGGTACTAGGATATTATTTTACCCTTTTCCCCTTAAATTTTTTTTCAAAAGGCTCTTTAGGAATGGTGGAAGTGATCAGGTTTCATGGGAGGGGGAGTATGGACTTGAGCCTTGAAGGTTGAGCAGGACTCCTTTTTGGTTGTCAGGAAGTAACAGATCTGTACAATGAAAACTGCAAGGCTTTTGAGGAAAGAAATTGAAGAAGACACAAACACATGGAATGATACCTCATGTTTATGGATCAGAAGAATTAATGTTGTTAAAGTGTCCACGCTACCCAAAGGCATCTATAGATTCAATGCAATTCCTATCAAAATTCTACTGGCATTTTTCACAGAAATAGAAAAAAACTCCCCACACAATTCACATATTTTTAAGCAAAGCATGGTTAGATATCTTAAACAGTAGGCTGTTG